TTACCCAGGATGCCTCAGCCAGGATCCCACTCCCCACTGGCTGAGGAAGCAAACGTGGGGGGAAGGGAGATAACCTCTCCAAGGGCCAGCCACAGAAACCATTTCTTCTCCTTAACTTTTGCTCTATCTTCCTCCTCAGAACAATATTTTTAAATACATAAAATACATAGGAACCCAACAGTATTTAAATGCAGTTATCAATTTTTTTTAATCCCAGACCCCAAACTTAGAATTCTTTCTTGCCCTACAGGCATCAGAGTGAAGATAACAAAAGGAAGGGCTTGTGTGGGAAGAGAGGTAGCCATATGTAATGTATAGAGAGCTGGCCTCCAAGCCAGGAAGCCCTGGGTTCAAGTCCTGCTCTGTGATCCTGGCAACGTCCCTTTACTTCTGTGTCCTATATATAGCTTCCAAGACTCTTAAGTTGTCGAGAACCCGTGAAGCTTCCTCATCCAGGGACCTTGCCCTGTGAAATCACAGATCCTAGCCCTATCTATATGCTTAGATAGAATCAAATCCATTCCTCAAATGTGTATTACAAGTATGGGACGGATTGAGAAACAAATTAATTTCAGAAAGGATATCCCAAACATAAATGTAGCCACTTGGGCTAAAATCTACAAGCCTCCAAAATCCAGAGGATGAATTCATTTCACCTTGTCAGACGCTTAGAATGGTGTAATACTCATTAAGAAAGAATAGAAAAACACAAACAAACAAGGAATATTCTGGTTTCGTGGTTTGAAGACCTACAAATTAGGCACTTTATTGTAATGTTTATTCAGGCAACAAACATTTTGTGACATCAGGATTTTGTACTAAGCCACCAGGAGCTCAAAAATTCTTTTGGAATCACAAATATTGATAGCTGAGTGGGGCCCAGTGCCCAAAAGGTACTGTTCCTAAGTTACACGAATGCCTCAAAGCCAGTGTCAGCATGTCAAGCCCCAACTGAAGACAGCCCAGACTGAGACAGGTGTTGCTCACATGTTGGACGGAACCGTTTGTCAACACACCTGGTTTGGCAGCTCACTAAATCATCTTTGAAAGTGTTACTGGCAGGATGACCCCATATGAATTCTTTAACTTCGGCAAATAAACGGTAAAAGGTATATACAAAAGGAAAAAAAGGTACATTTTCCCACATAAGGTAACGAGATTTTGGCAAAGAAAACTTTAAACCAAAGTCCATTACTGGACTGGCAGTATCTTGGATTGTAATTCAAATGCTACTACTGTATTCAGCCGTTACCTCGTTTTTCACGATGGCTGACATTCTGCCGGGCTAACACCAGAATCAGCCCAACGCATCTCCAGCCTGATAAAACAAACTGGCATCACAACTCAAGCCATCTTTGCACTCCAGATACAATAATCATTGCTCAGAATGTGGGATGTTCTTTTTAAGTTTTATCAGCAAGGAAAAAAATTTACCCGCAGAAGAGACTATTTAAAGCTGATTTAACCCCCCCCAAAAAAAAACACCAAAAAACCCAGTAAACAGGGTGACAGGGCACAAAATAGGATGAGAACTAAGTGGCCTCACGGTGACCTGGAGCATGTTAAGATACATAAACGCGACAGCAAGCCCGTCTGGGTGTGTTGCGTCGGGCCGAAGGCAGTCAGGGGAAGCAGGCGTCGGGCATGCAGCAGGCCAGGTGGGCCGCCTTGGAGCAGCTGCGCATGTGCACCGTCAGGCTGCCGCGCTGGGTGAAGGTCTTCTCGCACTGGCTGCACTTGTACGGTCGGTCTCCCGTGTGCACACGGAGGTGCTTGACCAGATTCCCCCGCGTGCTGAACCTCTTCCCACACTGCGTGCACTCATAGGGTTTCTGTCCCGTGTGGATGCGCAGGTGCACCACGAGGCTGCCCTTCTGGCTGAAGCCCGTGCCGCACGCGTCGCACTTGTATGGCTGCTCGCCCGTGTGAACGCGCCGGTGCACCGTCAGGTTGCCTCCGTTGCGGAAGCACTTGCCGCAGTCCAGGCACACGTAAGGCTTCTCCCCCGTGTGCATTCGCTCGTGCACAGTCAGGCTGCCCTTCTGCTTGAACGTCTTCTGACACTCGGCGCACTCGTAGGTCTTGGGGGCGTAGCGCTCCTTAAAGTGCATGCTGAGGCTCATCTGCGCCTGGAAGGTGCTCACGCACAGGTGGCACTGGCAGTGCATCTGCATGACGGCCGCGGCCGAGGCCCCGGCGGCCGGCTCCTTGGAGGGGGCCGGGGCCTGCGGCTCGCGCTGCTCGGGCTCCGTCTCCTCGGCCTCTGCGGTCAGCAAAGGACGGAAGAGTCACCTGGTGGCGCTGCCGGCCGGCCTCACCATGTCCCCCTGCGACCGCCTCCGGACCCAGGGGCCTGAAAGAAGAAAAGGCAGCCGTGAGATCTTTAACTGCAGGAAAGGAAGGGGGCCACATCGTCCAAGTGGCCCTTTGAGCTCCGATTTCCTCTCTGCCCCTCCCCGTAAAACTTGCAGACCTTCTCAAATGCCTGCCGGATAAAGCCTCGGTCCAAGCGTGTACTGCGTGTTTATTACAGGCAGCCGGGTGGCTCGTGGGTCAGCAAGTCCAGCCTGGTCAAGTCACCTTACCGCTGTCTGCCTCAGTTTCCTCATCTGTAAAGTGGGGATAATAATAGCACCTACTTCCCAGGGTTGTTGTGAGGATTAAAGGAGTCAGTATTTGCGAAATGCTTTGTAAATCTTAAAGCACTTCTAGAAATGCTTGCTGTCACATTTGTTGTTGCAGCCACTTTCCCTCCTCTCAGTGCCTCTAGCTTCCAGGCTGGGACTCTCCACTCTATCCAAGCCAATCCGCTCCCGTAAAAACCTCTCTTTGCGTTGTCACAAGCCAGGCATGAAAGCAAAGACCCTAAGACACCAAATCTCCAACAAACTTGGCCCCACTGCTTCAATTTTATGGCAGTCTAATGTGCCTCACCCAATCTGCCTGCATTTAACCAGCTCCACCGACTCCTAGCTGGGCAACACTGGACAACTGCTCTAACCTCCGAGTACCTCAGTTTCTCCCTCTGTACAATGGGAAACCTGACACCCAAACCAGCTTCCTAACAACACAGCTCGTCGAGCTTATTAACATTATTATCCTTATCTTCATCATCACCATCATCAATAAGCATTTATTAACCCTTTCTCAGACCACCAGGCTCTGCACTCAGGGCTGGGTAAATACAAGTAAGGACAAAGACGTGGAGCAGCTGCATGTCCTAAAGTGCTATAGTCATGCTACTGGAAGCTGTTACTCATTCATTTTCTGGGCTATTGTTTTTGTTCTGTAAGTGTGGCTGCAGTGCAGACTGCCTGTGAAAAGTAAACGCAGAATCTGTCACAGACAGGGAAATTTCCCAAATGAGATTCCTCTAGTTCAGTGATTCTGGAGGACACCTCCCTTGTCCTTCTAGCTCTGTAGAGCCCAAGGGCCCATCCAGATTTTCCCCTAGTCCTACAGAGGGACGCTGAAGGGACTGGCTGTCCTCTAGCTCCTAGATGTCCATCCCTGCAACATTATTGTGAGTCTTGAGAGTGAAGAGGGAGGGGGGCAGACGGCCCCTCTGAGAGAGGACTTCTGTCCAGTGCACACGAAGGGCCAGCCCCTGGGGAGGGCCCCGGGTGGCAGAGAAGGTGCTGACCCATGCATGCATGAAGGGCAGGTGCAGGCTGCAGCTTGCTGTAGGCAGGGCTCCCAGCAGCAGCAGCAGCAAGCAGCACCCGCCATGAGGCACCCAGAGGAGGTACAAATAGAGGCAGACAAGGGCAGACCTGGCCTCTCAGGCCTCAGTTTCTGTATTTGTAAACATGTGGGGGCTGGACAAATGTGGATCTCCTTCGGCTCTAAGTCTATCTATCAATCAATCAATTCACCAATGAGCCTACTACAGGCTAAAAGAGACGCAAAACGCCCCCTGCCCTCCAGAAACTTATATCCTAAGGTAATGGATAAACTTGGAATCTAGTAGATCCGAGTTCAAATCCCACCTCAGACACCAGCTGTGAAACCCTGGCCAAGAATCTTGGCCTTTCTGTGCCTCAGTTTCCCCATCTGTAAAATGAGGCATCCTGCCACGTAATCCAACCTAGCCCGTGGAATGACATCACAGGATTCTAGTGGGCGGGAGGTTGCCATGGTGATAACCCTCCCACCTCGAGATATGACGTCACGTAGGGGTCAGTTACTACGTTGACCGCGAGCAAACCTCCCCCACCACCTCCACTTCAGAACCTCCCAACTCGGACCCGAGCTCAGTTCGGACTGGGGGCGAGGGGCGTCCCGGACTCACCTCTAGCACCGAGCAACCTCCGGATCCTGAGACAGGCGGTCTTCTGGTCGCAGGGACTGGGCTGCGCGCGCATCTCCTCCCTTCCACCCTCCCCCTCATCCAAAACTACATTTCCCAGGTTCTCCCGGGCGGCGCCGGCCCGGACCTCCGTCATCGCGAGGCACTCTGTTCCCAACTCTCCGGACCTGCTCACGGGGGTGCGGCCTATGGCCCAACGCACCTTCAGCTCTAGCTCCGTGGCGAAGCGGACTACACTGCCCAGAGTGCCCCGGGGGCGGGGCCGGGGACCGTGCTTGCTGAGCAAGCGCGTTCGGGAGGGCCACCGCGGAGGCCTCTGGGAAAGAGTCTGCAAGTCAGGAGCCGTGGCCTGGGGCGCTTTGGGTCTCTGTCTACATCGCTCTAGTTCCTGGCGTATTCGTTGCTCGGGCCCGGAGGTGAGTCCCGCCCCTCTCTCTCTTCCCTGTGCCCGGCCTTTATGTGGAGGAGGCCCGAGGCCGGGGGGAGCTGAGCCCTGAATGGGATGGAGGCGACCGCTCGCGCTCGTTTTCGACGTCTCCATGGCAACCATCCCAGCTCTCTGGGACGTCACTCCTCAGCCCCGCCGCGGGGGAGAATGCGCATGCGCGGCGCTGGAGCTCACTGGAATGCTCTGAGCTCTGCAAGGCGGCCCCGTCACCCTTTACTGATGGGCAAAGGGAGGCCCCGAGGTGGGGAGGGGGCGTGGGAAGGAACGTGTCGCCCCCGGGTTGTTTTATAGCGCTTAAAGGCTAACAAAGCGCTTCTTGCTCTCTGCCAGCCGTAGGCCCCATTTTACAGAGGAGGAAACTGAGGCTTGCTGAACAGCGCCACGTCCAGTCAGTGAGCATTTATTAAGCACTTAGGATGTGCCGGGGAACAGAAATCACACCCTGCCCTCGAGGGGCAAACAGCCCATAAAGGGCTGGTCAGGGGAAGGTGGCACAGCCCAGAGACAGAAGGATGGAGGTCTGGGGGCCCTCGGGGTCAGAAGAGACCGGGCCTTATTCTTCCAGTTGTCCCTGCCCGGCTCATTAGTCACTCTATCTGTGCTTGGTGAATTGAATTGAAACCCAGCTATCCAAGATCGTGGACTGAAAGGGAACTTGGAAAACCCCTCCTCTTACAGATGGGGAAACTGAGGCCTCATATGGCACAGGCCCAGACCTTGGCTGGCCCTCGGATAGCACGCATGCATTACGTCTCTGCACAAAGGTCAGAGAGGGCCGTCTTGAGCACAGCAGAAAGCCGGGCTCAAGAGAGGTCTGAGAGCATTGGGCAGACCTTAAGGAGAGGAAGAGTCTTGTACGTGGGCATTATCGGGAGCTGCTCTGAAAGGCACTTTAATGGCATCTGGGGCTGCTGGAGAAGGGACCCGACAAGCCCAGGCAGACCTCCTTTGGGCTCTGAGCTGGCTTCCATTCTGGGCATCCCCGTTTAAGAACGTGGAGAAGGTGGAGAGGGTCAGAGGAGGGCATGATGACCAAAGACGATCTGGTTCTCCTGGATTGGAAGCGTGTGAAGGCCCTTCTGTGTTCTGCTCGGCCCACATCAGTACACTAGACAGGATGATGGAGTGCTTCGTGCAGCCCACTGGGCTGGGCCATATGTGCATAGAGGGCAGATGCTGTCATCGACCTGGGAAGGTCAGGAAGGGCATTAAAGGCCAGTCCGAGTGCCCATTGGATTGCAGCAGCCCCGAGGCTGTTTGAGGAGCTGGCACAGTCAGACTTGGGCCACAGCAATGGAAAGCGCAGATGAGGGTCCACACGGACTCCTTCCCTCCCATGTGTCTAGGCACCTGGTGCATCTTGCTCTTTCTGTCTCTCCACATCATCTCTCACGGCCTCTCCTCTCCCTCCTCCCATAGGCACCTCTCCAGGTGCTCGTCACCTCTCAGGGCCTCCTTTCTGCCTCAAAACGGCAAAGAGATTGTCCTCAGCTGCTGATGGAAACATGTGGCTATGGAGCCTCTCAGTTTTCTCCAGGTCCGGGGCTTTGTAACCCGAGTTTAGGAATGTGCTTTTTAAACGTTTTGATGATTGTATGTCCGTGTCTCGGGTTTCTTTTGTCATCTTATTATGGCAAAATGAGTAAAGTCTTAATACTTGAAGTCAGGAAGATCTGAATTCAAATCTAGCCTCAAATAACTACTTAGCTAGCCATGTGACCCTGGCCAAGTCACTTAACCTCAGTTTGCCTCAGTTCCCTCATCTGTAAAATGCGGATAATAACAGCACCTACCTCTCAGGGTTGCTGCGAGGATCAAATGAGATAATATTTGTAAAACGCTAGTTAGGATGATTAAATAATGCAGTTAAAAAACATTATTCTGAGGAAGGCTCCATAAGTTTCAGCAGACCCCAAAGTAATCTATTATCCTATAGATATTAAGAACCCCTGCTCTCAGATAAAAGATCAACCCCTGTTTGGTTTCTAAAGTCCTTCACGACCTAGCCCCTGTCTTTGCAGCCTTATTCTACAGCACTGTGTACAGTCCAGCCAAGCAGGGCTTCTCTTTGTTTCTCAGACATTTCTTGGACTCCCTCATGCCTGGAAGGCCTTGCCTTCGTCCCTGCTCACGGAATCCCTCCCTTCCTCCCAGACTATGTACCACCTTGGATCCAAGCTTTTTCTGTTCCCAACCCCTCCCCCCTAACTGCTAGTGCCTTCCCTCCCCAACCACTTTTATTAGTTAACTACGTTGTCTTTATTTTATAAAATTCTTCCTGCAGTATGCTCATTTTTTTAACAAGTTGTATTGATATTCTTTTTACATCAGCACAGTTACTTCCCCATTGTCTCTCCCTCTTCTCCGTCCTAGAGGGCCATCCTACCTAACAAATAATGCTTTTTAGAAGGCACAGAACTGATCAGTGCATTGAAAAAGGCTGAACGTGTATATGTGCTGCATGCCTGTCCCATCAGGGCCTCCCCTCTCTGCACAGGAGGTGGGGTGGGCACTGGTCTTCTCACATTTCTCTTCTTTGGGGCCATGATATTCCATTGTTTCGGGATTGTCTCTGCTGACTCTGCTCTGCACCAGATCCTGAAAGTCTTTCCTTCCCTTCTGTGTGTTCTTCAGTCCTCGTTTCCTTACAGTTCAGCATCATACATCTGTAGGTATGTGCATACGTGCTGTGTATGTGTATATGCACGCAGTACATGTTGTCTGTGCCCATAGAACGCTAAGCTTGAGCGGAGATTGTTTATTTTTGTCTTTGTATCACCATCACTTACACAGTACCTGGTATACTGTAGGCAATTAATAAGTGCTTAGAGATCATGATGAAATGCCAGCCTCAGGATTTTGTCAGGGCCCACATAGGCATGTGCAGCCTGTGCTGGGCAGAGCCTATTTGCTTAGATCCCTTTCTGTGGTTCCCAAAGCTCTGTCCCCTGGAGCCCAGTGTTACCTAAGCAGAGGGTCCGGGTGCTGCTCTATCATCTAGTCTTCTGGGGGCGGGGGCCCTCTCATTGCCTGGGAAGTCTGAAGCTGCTGCTCTTTCATACCCCCTTTCTTCTCTCCTAGCTGTGCCTTCCTGAGATTTTTGTCTTTCCATCAGAAGAGCTGGATATGGCCACTGTCGGCCTCCCTGCCAAGACCCAGGTAAGTGAGAGTTTCCTCTTTTCCTGAAATGCCATCTCAGTTCCCTGACTTTGGGAGTAACAGCATCTTCTGGTATTTTCTTTATCTTCTCAATAGCTTTTTCCATTGCCAGGGGAAATGTCCTTTCGGCTTGTTCTTTGGGCAGATACCACTGAGCCTTGACTTGAAAGCATTTACTCTTCTCGAGATTCTGCATAGGAACTCTGACCTGGATGGGGCGGTATTAGCCAGAATCCTAATGTTTGGGAAATGGAGTTCTTAGCTAGTGGTCCCATCTTTCTCTTCTGAAACCTCATGTTTCTGGACACTTCTTGCTTATCTGGCTATAGCGTCTCTCTCCACAGAGCTTTAAGCATGTAGATGTCCAGATGCAAGTAGCATAAGGTCATTGATCTTTACCGTAGAAGGAGGCACTTTGCAGATACAAAAATCCTAAGTAGCAAGTGCATCATTATATGCATCTGATGGAAGGGGGTTAGACTAGGCATTAGACGATACTGATGATAGAGCCATATGCCCAGTACATATCCTGGGGCACAGTTTGAGGCCACCGATGCAACCAGTGAGAAAAATCAGGCTCAGATCAGATGTTGAAATAGTAAGAGATAAGGTGAGAGACGTAGGGAGGGTCCAGAAATTGGTGGACTTGAAACACCGGCCTGTGAGCCTTTGGATACCGCTTGGATATAGGCCTTATGTTGGGCCTTCTTCTTGTGGTAACAGACTTGACAAGTTAATAAATTACGCGTCTATGAAAACGTTTTCCCTGTTGCCAGTCCTTTATGAGATAAATAGAAATAGTAATTTTGTAGCATCATTATTATAAGCAGGCATTTTGTTTTACAGAATAGCCAGTCTAAAATTTGAACGTTATCTTAGTCACTTGAAAAGTTCGGCTGGTCTGTTTGCACCAGTTAGGTGATTGTAAAGTAGCGTAGCTCTCTTTGTAAAGCACGTTTTCAAAACTCCAGAGCACCTGTCAGGAGGTAGATACTGCTCTGTCATCTCGATTCATCTTGGTGACAGCCAGCAAGAAGGAAAGTGTCTCTGGAGAATGGAAGACTGGGGGGAGGGGCAGAGGACATAGTCACCGTCTCCACCTATTTCATGCTCTGTCACGAGGCATGGACATTAGACTTATTATGTCTGTTCCCAGAAAGCAGAGCAAGGACCAGAGGAGAGAAGCAACAGGGAGGGAGGTTTCCATGCTCCAGGCAAGCTTTCTGAGAACTAGAACTCTGCAAAAATGCAGTAGATCGCTCTCAGAGGCACTGGAGGGGGGCTTCCTTCAGGGAAGCTGCCTCTTTTCTGTCTTATTTCAGAAGTTTATTTCCTAATGCCTAGCACAGTGGCTGGTGTACTACAGGCGCTTAGTGGTTGCTGGTGATGATGTATTCCTGCATCATCGCCCTTCATTTCAACATATATGTCTGTGACGTGTTTGCATTTTCATGCAGCATAACAGAGTGGACAAAGAGCCCCCAGGTCAGGAAGACTCGAGTTCAAGACTTGCCTCGGAAGCTTCCCGGCTTCTTGTGTCTATGGGCGAGTCACTTCACTAGGTGCCTTTGGCCATTCCCCAGTACTGTCCGTTGCAGAGCAGGGACCTCACCTGAATTAGGAGAGGGAGTTGAGGGTAGGGGAGGGCTTATGCCAATGACGTCACTGGTCCTGATCCTCCCCACCCCCAAATTAGGATTATTGTTCCTTGAAGATTTTTCCCTGGATGTTTCCTAGTGATATATAGGGTGAGTCTTTATCCTCATAAATAAGCTATCTCCCAATTCCCCCTGGAGAAGAGGATAGCTTCTGGCGTGGTTTCTTGTAGAAAGCTAACTATGTTTATGACACATGTTGCTTATTAACGTCCATTGCAAAGGGCTCCTCCCGAGCTTTGGAAGAGCTGTCCCCCCACTGACTGTGCCAGTGGGCAGTGATTGACGAGGAAAGCTTGGGAGTTGGTGGGGGGCAGCCCAAATAATGAGTTCAATTCTGTTTGAAAGGAAGGTGGCACATGGCCATGGAAAGCCCTTCTGGACCCATGGCAGGTGGATTTGTGTGAGTAATGCCCTGTGGCCACGGGAGGGCTGGACATGGGGCTTTGGGGCCTGAGTAAACCGTAGCCCTCTCCTGTTCAGGGGTTTGAGGAAAGGTTTGGTCCATCCTTAAATCAAAAATCAGGAGTCATTTTGCTCAGTGGTATTGATAGATGAATGAATGGATTTGAAACCAAGAGACCTAGGTCCTAGGCCCCCCTCTAGGACCTTTCCTCATCTCTGTCACTAAGAGCAGGGACATGGGAACCCCCAAGGACCCTTCAGCTCCCAAATGAGTTGGTATTATTCAGGAATTGAATTAACTAAACATTTAGCTTGTGGGCAAGGTATATTTACTTCTCAGTCTCAGTTTCCATGAATGATCTTATAAAATGTTCAGGAAGTCGCTTTGCGAATTAAAACTGTTATCTGTGTAAATGTGAACCAGGTGTGCTGCTTGATGCGCATGAATATGGACACCAGCTCTTGACCAGACAACAGACTGAGCATTGAGCATTTCTGACTATAGAACTAGAATCACAGAATCACAGAAAGGGACTGAACCCATTCCCTCATTTTGTAAGTCAGGAAATACAGGGCTCGTGACTTGGGTCCCACATTCCCAAGTAGCCTAGCCTGGGTTCCTTACAGCCAAGAACGGGAAGATGCAGGCAGCCAGCCGGACCCTGGGTCAGAACAGCCAGGGACCAGGCAGCCAGCCGTTAGCTTCTGACAGGCCAGAGTGACAGCTGAGCGTCCCAGGCATGAAGCTCTGGCAAAACCTGGAGCTTTCTATTACTCGAATCCGCACAAGCGAGAGGAAAAATCAGGGCTTTTGTTTGTTTTTTTAAGAAGCGGGAAAATTTGGGCAAATTAAGTAGCGATTTTTGGCAGTTGAAGTTTAATGAAATAGGTACTAGATTTTTTTCCAGGTGTATTATATTCCAAATTGCGCTATCTCGTGTTATAGAAATGTGGCTTTTAGCAGTTGGTCTGCTTATTAATAAAGAGTTTATTCTTATACATAAGCATAGCAGACCTGCTCTTTCTTACTCTGCACTGAGCCTTGCTGGTTGGCCCCGGCCCTCGCTAACCGAGCACCATGGAGAGGCAGCTGGTGGCATTGCACGATGAGGTCTGAGGGAGTTAACACAACAGGCCAGTTATACATTAACAGAGAATCCGCCCCCTCAATGTCCGTGGTGATGCCTGCGCGTCACACCTAGGTAGTGCTTTCTTCACAACCACCTGTAAGGCAGGTCGCGAGAGGGCAATTGTCTTTATTGAACAGATGAGGAAACTGAGGTTCAGGAGAGGTTTTTGCCCATAGTAAGTGGCAGACACTTGAATCAGGATCCCTTGACTTTGTGTCCACCCAGCACTCTTGCAGATAATCCGGCAATCAACAGGCATTTGTGCAATGCTTCCTATGTGCCAGGCACTGTGCTGGCCACGGGAGCGAAACCATCCCTACATATGTAGAGCTAATTGTGTCCTAATGGGGAAACAATAAGCATGTATGTACATGCACAGACATATGTGTGTGTGCACACAAAAGATAAGTACCAGTAAATAAAAGCTAGTTAACATAAAGTCAGTAGGGAGGGTGGGCACTAGCAGTTGGTGGGATCAAGAAAGACTTCCAGGCTGTGTGTTGGAGAGCAGGGCGCTGTGAGGAGGGAGTGTATCCCAGGCATGAAGGACAGCCAGTATGGAGGCCAGGAGACAGGGGAAGGACCATCTAGGAGCAACAAAGAGAAAACCAGCTCAGCTGGATTGCAGAATGTGGAGGTAAAGAGGAGGAATGCACAGTGAAGCTAGAAGTAAAGGTCACAACCAGGCTGTGGAGAACTTTAAAAGCTAAATAGAGGAGTTTGTATTTGGTCCTAGAGGCAAAGGGAGCCCCGGGCTTTACTTAGTTGGGTGGCAACAGGTAGGGTGGGTACTTGGGAGGGATAAAGTAGACTTGAATAGTGAGTATGTTTGAGGAATTGGGAGCTATGGAGAGACATTGATCCATGTGCTAAATTCCTTGAGAAATAAAGGAAGATAACCTGGTTGCCATGGAAAACCACTACCATGATTTGAATAGAGTGAAAAATGTTGGTGCTGTATATTTCAGAGGAGAGGTTGCTGAGTGATGATAGCAAGGATGAAGTCTGGAGGTAGCAACAGGCAGCATTCCCCCCATGGGACTAATATGGTGAGACGGGGCAGGGGGGGGAGTAAAGATACAGCCAGTGGTGGAAAGGATGGCCAGAGATGCAGTTTAGATGAAGGAAGCCAGGTCTCAGCAAGGGCAGATAGATAACAGTAGTGTGAGAACAGTCCACAATAAAAGGCATCCTATTCATTGTAAAATAGGAGTTCCGAGGGCACAGTGGGAGGGAGCGGGCAGGGTTAGCCCGTACATGGACTGAGTGGGGCTGAAAAGAATGGAAAAAAGAGAATTGGATGTGCGTGTTGGATGTAATTTGGTCTTTCTGTTAAATATGCCACATTGCCTCTATGTTCTAAGGACTTTATAGAGTCTCATTTGAATTTCTCAAAACAAACCTGTGGGTTAAATAATGTGTAAATATTATCCTGGTTTTATGAATGAGGAAACTGATACCGCTTGTAAAGACTGGAATATAATTTAAAGGGAATTTTTTAAATCTATTAAATTGGTTTCATTATAAGCTGTGATGATCTACCATTAAGAGGCTTTAGAACAGAAAAGAACTTTGAGCACTTTGTTGATTCCTTCCTGTGTATCACATGTAGTATATATACCTCTTCGTGAATAGTGATGCCTATTAGTAGGATAGGTCTAGTGCTTAGGTTTCTTGAGAGATATTTAACAAAAATAACAGATTGATTAGAAAATCAGCTTGGGCCATAATACCTTAGAAAAATAACACTTTTTTAACAGAGATATAGAAATTAATCAACCTCCTAATTCTTGTTGAGAAATATCTAGATAAGGCAAGGTTTCAGAAGAAAAACTTCACAAACGAGTTTATTTCCTATCCAAGCTGATCTGTTAGTAGTGGTGTAGTGTGCTCCCTAACATACTGGTCTGACCTTCTTTTCTTCAAATAAACGCTGCTTGACCCCCACACTTGAGGCTGTTCCGTTCTGATCGCTGATTGCCATTGCTGCAGGGCCTCCCCCCCCCCCCCCCCCCCCCCCCCCCCCCCCCCCCCGCACGATCCATTCACGCTCTGTCCTCTTCCTACCCATTTCCCCCAAATGGAAGAGAATGTCCTTTGCCTTATTGCTCCAGTGATCAGTCTCTGAGACCAGGAACACGTAGACTCCCTTCTTACACTGATACTTTGATTCCTATCAAACACAATAGATGTTTTATTACACTAGCATGTATATGAAAGAACATTTACAGTAACATAGCTACTTAGAGTAAAAAGAGTAGCTAGCATTCTAGCATGCTTTAAGATTTACGAAGCCTTTACATGGATTATCTAGTTTGATCCAACACCCTTAACTCTCCGGAGTATCTATAAATCGGAATATAACCAAAACATATGCCCAACTATCAGCATGCACAGAAAAGATCCAAGGGGAACCTAGGAGCGAAGGATGAACAAAACCTGTGATGTGATTCATCAGTTTGCTAACCAGAGGAAAAGTGGTTTTTGTTAGCTTTGTATATTTGTGAACACAGCCCAGGGCCAAAACCTTGGTGTATTAGATAAGTAGGAGAAAAAGAAGCAAGAAGAGCAGACAGGGGAGGTAATAATGATCAGCAGGGAAGCAGAGCTGGGTCAGTGGAAAACAGATAAGGTGATAGTGTGGGCAAGAGAAAAATACTGCTATCCAGTAGAGCAGTCTGGGGGTACAGGGTGCAGCCAGCTTGTTATCTGGGGCCTAGTCTGGCCAGTAGAGCAGTCTGGGGGCACAAGGCACAGCCAGCTTGTTATCTGGGGCCTGGGCAGGGCCCACTTGACTCTATCAGTAACATTTACCTCAATAGCTATTGTACAGTGAATAGTCTGACAGCCTTTTGTTTACTGAAAAAGAAAAAAAGGGAAGTATTTTATTTTAGAATGATGGCCATGGAAATTTCATTGAATTTTCCAGTAGTTAAGTTGATAAAGGCTTTCAGAAGAAGAAATGAAACTATCAGCAACCCCACAAAAAGTGTTCTGAGTCACTGGTAAGAGACCAGAGCTTAGAGAACTGGCCCTAGAGGGGAACTTTGGGTGTCTAGCCCAACCTCTTCATTTCCCAGAAGAGGCTGGTGAGGCCTGGGGAAGGCCAGTCACACCAGCGGGAAGGAGGCAAGGCAGCATTTGAACCCCAATCCTCTAACTTCAGAACTGTGTTCTCACCTTTCACCTCCCACCCATCCAACTGGATCTCTGAACTGGTCCAGCTGTTTAAGAAAGTTCTTTGTAATGATGTGAGAAAAGTGACTAAGATCTTCCTGCCCATTGTCCCTATAAGCCCATCACTCCTTACGCACCCCTGAGGAGGTCAGAGAGAAAGAAGGGGCCAAAGATAGGAAAATATTCATCAACAGCATCTTGTGGGGGAATAGTGAGTGACCATTTATTGGGAAACGATTAAACAAATCATGCACGAGAAAATAATGAAACACTGCCCGAAGGTGTAATAAATAGAAACAGTTGATTGAAACAAGAAGACTTTTATGAACTGAGGCAAAGTGAAGAGAGCAGAGCCCCCAGAACAGACATGCCACAGCCACGGTGCTGTGAACAGAACTCAAAGAGTCTCCTCTGCACCTGGCTCCAGGGGCCACCGGCTAATTGTGGTCCCTCATCCCGGAGGGGCAAGACACGGTGGGCCCAGCAGGTTGTGTCCATGGCCAGCACAGCTCTTTGTTGGATGGCTTTACTGGCCCCCTTGTCTTTGTTACGAAGGAGAATCCTCTGGTGGGGGAGTAGATTGGAAAATGACTGAGGAGCAAAAGGCGAGCTCTGTAATTGGAATGACCGAGCTTGACCAGAGGAGAGCTGAGAAAGCGCACCTTCCTCTGTCCCGGCAGTGTGGGGGAGCGTGGGGTGAAGTGTTGTGTATACTGTCTGTGTGTTGGTTGATTTTGTCAGGCTGCTTTTTTTATCTTTGTGGCAGATGAATATATACATGTTACAAACAAAAGGCATCAAAACAAATAAGATTAAACATTTAAAAGTAACTGGTACCTCAGATTAAGCACTTCTTTCTTTCTCTCCCAAGACTTTTTTTTTAAATTAAAGAATTAACTAAAAATATTAAAAATCTTTTTTTTTCATTTTTGAAAACATATATAATTGGAAAAAATAAAATATTATTGAAACAAGAAAACTGTAAACGACTATTGGGAAAACATGAACTAACTCTGACACTAATGACTTCCTTTAAAAAAAAATGGTTAATGAGCAGCTAGCACCAGCCCTGGAGACAGGAGGACCCAAGTTCAAATGCGGCCTCAGACACATAATACTCACTAGCTGTATGACCCTGGGCAAGTCATTTAACCTCTATAGTCTCACCCCCCAAAAATGGTTAAAATACGACTTTTATGACTTAAAGTATACTTCTTAACCTGGGGGGGTAATAAACTTGGATTAGAAAAAAATAACATTCTTAATTTCATTAACCTCTAACTGAAGTTTAGCATCTCCTTCATTAGGACTTTTTTTTTTTATCTTCATTCAAAAGTCTGACCAAATTGCCAAAGGAGTCTATGACACATGGAAATTTAGGAAACTGACTTAAAGAAGGGCCTTCTGGTTAATTGGGAACTTGGCTCCCTCATACCCCAGCCATTGCAGATGATGGAGATGTTTCTGTGCACAGAATATACATGGAATGTATATGTCTATGACAAAAGGAATCTTCATGAATATGTAGAAAATAGGAATAGGAAGGTCCAGCCCCCAGAAAGAACCTGCCCTGAGTTGGGCAAATAAGGTTAGAGCCAGGGAGGGGTCTTCAGGATCATGTATGTGGTCTGGACCCATCATTCCACTCCATTGCCCTCCTTTCTCTTTGCCTGTTGAAATGTTCACCACGGGATCACCTCCCACCTCCTCACTACTCCTGTGCGCTCAGATCGCTCCCTTTATTCAGACAGTCCTACCAGTTACACCAGGAACATCACCATTAGACTGGAGGTTGTAGCCTTGTATCCTTTGGTTGTTTTACTTGTGTAAGTCTTTCCACTCTAAAAAATAAATTGACTCCTCTTAGACAGCTTTTATGTTGCCCAAAATCTAGCCCAATATTTGGTTTACATTCAGAACCCTAGAAATTATTAGGGGATGTGTTACTAAAACCATAACATGTGATATTTCTTCAACAATGAGGCCAACTCCAGGGCCATTTCAGGAAAGGGTTCCTGAGCCCTGGCAGGTGTGTGTGTGTGTGTGTGTGTGTGTGGTGTTTCAGGACTCAGTGACCTTCAAGGATGTGGCTGTGGACTTCACCCGAGAAGAATGGGAACGACTGAATAGCACTCAGAGGGATCTGTACAGGGATGTGATGCTGGAGAACTATAGGAACCTGGTCTCTCTGGGTAAGGACAGTTTCCCCTGTAACTTAAAACTGCCTGTTGGGCTTTGTTCAATCACCATTAGCTGTGGGGCCTCGGAAGTGCTCAGCTGAGTGTCAGGGATCTCTTGCCAGTCTTTTCACTTGAAAATAAATAAATAACTGTATTGGGAAAGTACAGACTAAAACCTTTGACATGGATGGCTTCATTTTAAAAGAAAAAACTGGTTAAAATAAAACTTTAATCACTTAAAGTGTGGATTCTTAACCTTGGGGATCAGTATTTCTTCTTCCTCTTCTATGCCAAATGATATGCTCTGTGTAGAGTTAGAAATGGGAGGCTTCCTTCCTCGTGCAGGCCTGAGGCTGGTCCTTTCCAATCCTTATCACGCGCAACGCTTGGGGCATTTTCTTCATCTTATCTGAGAGAAGGATGGATGAACCCTTCTTTCTGAGCCCTTCTAGATCCAATCCATCATTTATTAAGCACTTACTGTATGCTAGGCACAGGGATACAAAAGGAATTCCTCAGCGCTTTGTTTTACAAAGGTAGCAGTACATGCCCTTCAGGGATCTTCCGCCCTTCCTTGTGACCTGACTGTTTTGTCTTCACTTCTCAAGACCACATAGCTGGAACAGTGCTCTGAGATGTTATTTATCCCTGGCACAATCAAGTCCCATTTATTTCCCCATGAACAGGACTTGCAGTTTCCAAACCTGATATAATCTTCCAGCTGGAACAAGAGAAGGAATTGTGGATGCTCAAGAGAAAAGTCCTAAGAAGCACCCGCCCAGGTGAGTGAGTAAGAACCAGAGCCATTGAGGCTGTTTGGAAAGGTGTTGACATCTTGGACATGTTGGAAGACGAGTTTGCCCAGACTGCAAAAGGGTGGCTAGTTCTTGAAACGGCCTTCCTCTAACCTGTAGCCTTTACCTCAACATGTTATTCTCCTGCCATTGCACCCGTCACCACTCCAGAAGAGGTAACCCTCCTGCCTGAAGCCAACTGCTCTCTGCATCACAACCCTTCTTATCCTGTAACTGCATTCTGAGGATCAGTCTGTTCCTCTTTGCCATCTTCAGTCTCTTACCTTCCTGTAAAACAAATGGCAACCAAAAATAACCCTTTGTGTGGCCATGCCCCCCGTGTAGACACACTGTCACCTTTCCCTCTTTCTATTCACTAACGCATTCCTCAGATGTTGGGTCTTTAACTGCTCGTTCTAACTCCTTGCCAGACTACTTAATCTTCCTAAACCCCACGGTCTGGTTGAAGGTTCCACCACTCCACCAAATCTGTCCTCTTGGAAATCTCCCTTGCAGGGGGTGGTGATACTTACCTGTATTCCCTCTTATGGGGAAGGTAGCAGGATTGATTGTCTGACTTCGAGAGGTCTGGGCTTCAGTGGGCTAAGCTGATTGAGTGTCTGAGCTCATTCCAGCACTGGGCTGTGAACCTTGGGAGCCACCAGATTGCTTCGGGAGGGGTGAGCTGGCCCAGGCTGGAAGTGGACTAGGCCAAAGCCTCCCTGCCAAGCAGCCCCGGTGCCAGGCCCTTGAGTGACCCTGCAAGACTTGGTGACCGCATTTAAAAAATACAAGATCACGCTGTATAGCTCCTGGTTAATACCAACAGCTGTTTCCAGGTCTTACCTTCTTTGGTCTCCTTGTCATGTTGAACAGTTTGGCACTCCTTGAAACTCAAGCCCCCTTTGATTTGTATGACCTGACACTCCTAGTGATTATCCTCATGCCCCCTCGCTTTTTTTTCCTTAACTTCTTTTTTTTTTTCTCCCGCTACTGAAGGCAGGTGCCCCACTAAGCTGTGTCCTCTTCCCTCAGGGCCGTTGAGGGACAGTAGGTAGAGCTCTGGGCTGGAGCCAGGAAGGCCTCAGAAACTTTCTAGCTCTGTGACCCTGGGCAAGGCACTTCACCTCTGCTGGCCTCAGTCTCCTCGTTGTAAAATGGGGGTAATGACAGCACCTACTACCCAGGGATTTTGTGAGGTTCAAATGAAATCAGCCTTTAGCCCAGTAGCCGGCACATAGTAGGCACTTAATAAATGCTTCCTTCCTGCCTGTCTGCCTCTCTCCCTCACCGATTCCATTGTCTCCAAGATCTTATCTATGTGCTTCATTCTAGCTTTATCATTCATCCTAACCATGCATCTACGCCATATTTCTACATGCCTAAATCAACTCATCTTGGATAACCTCACTTTCACTGCAGGTTCATCAAACTCTTTCTCATCCTTTTCTTCATTCAGCCATTTCTGATCAAGGTGCCATTACTCTTCCAGAGGCTTTGGATGCAGGCCCTGACATGTTGGACCCCACCGGCGTCCCACCAGTGAGGTGCTCATTTGCTTCCCAGGGCCCACCTACTACCTTCCCTTTCCTGCTTCCTCTGGAGAATGGGATAACCCTCCCCTTGTCTGGCAAGACTCTCCCAAAAGGAAAGCTCCCCTGTGCTTCAACCGTTAGCGGGACACAGAATCCCTAGTTGTGGCCTCATCCTCGTGAACCGTACAGTGCAGGGTGAATGGGCGCTATTTCAGCTCTTCCTCAACTCTCACAAGCTCCTACTGAGTCTCCCTTTAACATGTTTCTTGCATTTGGTTTTATTCTCTGCAGCTCTACCCCCATTCAGACCTTGACCATCACTGCAACAGTCCTTTCCTTCCCCAAAGTCATGTTCACCACCCCCTTTCTCTTCTCAAGAACTTATCATGACCTTATTTTGTCCCCTCATATGTCTTAAGCCATTTAGCATTCAGTGCCTTCCATGAACTCAATCTATGTTTCCCAGCGTATTTGTCACAAACATGCTAATTTTCACCCTCCTCTAATCAGGCCAATCTAGTCCGTGTATCATTCCCATCACCCTGCCCTCTGACCACCTGGCACATCCTCCCCATCCTCTCTGCTTATCTAAATAGATTTCCCTTGAAGCTAAAATTAAGTTCTGCCTAAAATCAAGCTTTTCTTGAGTTACCAGAGACAATGATCTCTCTTTGTAATTCTCTTGTCCTACTAATAGTCTTGTTCCATGTGGTCAGGTCTTTGATGATACCATTGTAGTTTTATGTTTGTTATTCTTATGTGTCCTCCCTGCCCCCAACTGTAACACCTTAGAGGGAAGGGTCTCTCTTTGCATTATTTTTTATCTCAGATACCAGGCCCACAGGTGCTCAATGAATATTGGATTGGTTGAATTTTACAGTGACAAGCAGGGGGAAGGCTTTCTCCTCCTTCATTGGGTTAGGAGTCACCTTTTTCTTATTTCTCTGACATGCTTCATATTCATCCATTTAGTAAGTTTGTATTGAGTTTTCTACTGTTTACTACTAGTTCTCCTAACTGCTAGGACCTAAGGATGATTCAGATCAGATATGAAACACAGGTACTTAAAAGAAGCTTCACATTTCATGGGAGAGGAAAGTTTTGAAGCCTATGGGACAGCAAAATAACAGTGTAAAGCCATGTGTGGATGATGAGTGCCAAATTTAATGGTACAGAAGGTCAGTGCCAATAGGCATGTCAGAGAGATCCGTGCAGACTAGGTTAGCTGGGAAAGACTTTGGGGAGAAAATGGCCCACTGAGTGGGCCCTTTAAGGAAGAGTAAGACTTGGGTAGGAAAGATTCTTGAAGGTAGGACTGATGGCATGAGCAAAATCTTGAACATGGGCATAAACTGGCATTCAGGAAGGAAAGAAAGAAAGAGGATTAATTAAGCACTTCCTATGTGCTAAGCATTGTATTAAGCATCAGGGATAGAAATATAAAAAGAGGCAGTCCCTGCCCCCTCAGGGAGCTTATATTCTAACAGAACAGAGTGAGACCACACATGGAAGAATGCAGGGGCCAGTGAAGGGAGCTTTATTCTGAGGAGTCGCAGATACAATAAATTGATGTATGTGCTACTCAGCTGACACATCCTTTCCGTGAGTAATGATGCTGGTTTAACTTGGTTCCACCTTGTGCTCTGGGCACAGTAGAGCCAAGGGGGAGTCATTAAGAGAGTGGATGAGATATGAAGATGAAGCATGTCTAGGGCCAGCTAGTAAATATCATAGACAAGTTTGTACTCAGTCACCAATCAGCTCAGGTGGGTCCTAGGGCAGGAGCTCCAAGGATGAGTAAATTAACTCCCCTGGGGCTAGGGGTATGGGTTCTAGGTGTCAGGGTCCAGAGAGAGAGTTGGAGACCTAATAGGGTCCAGTTGTAGAGGATAAAATACCATCCCAAAGTATTTTGACTGTATCGTGTCAAACTTAGAGAGCCATGGAAGGCTTTTTTAACAAGGAGAATAATATGTGATATTTGCATGTAGAAAAGAAAAAATCTAGCATTAATATGGTCAGTGAATTAGAAAGTAGTAAAACTGATTGGGGAGACCTGAAAGGAATCTTTCAATAATGGACGTATAAGATCATGAGGGCCAGGGCTAGGGTGGTGATGGGGGGGTACCTCTTCTTCCTATGATACCAATCTGATTGCCAGAATCCCTGTTTTACTATGTTATCTGTGTTGTACTCTCCTGAGGAGGCTGTCTTCATTCCCTGTTTTTACCTTTGCTGCTATTTCAGTCTCACTTCCTCCAATTTTGGTCCTATTTCCTCTCTCTTTCCATCCCTCTTTTGCCCTGCTGCACGGCTACATTTGAGAATTGTGAAAGCTGTACTCTTTATTATAGGCATGCTTGTCATTTCCAATATCCCAGTCTTTCAATAGAAGTTTCCTTTATCCTAGTTTGAAGCACAGGGGACATTTGCATTTTCATTATGTTTCAGCGCAGAAAACTGAGAACAAAATGGCAGTTCCAAACAAGGATATCTCTGAAGAAAAATCATCCCATGGAGACAAAGTGGCAAACCCTGGGAGGAGTAATACTTTGGATTCTAATCCAGGAGAATCTACTTGTTTAAGTGATGGCAAGTTGGAGACAAAACCAAAAAGCAAGACCCATTTGAGGGATGTAACAGTCACTCACAAGAAAATTCCAGCTGGACAAAGAGGCCGAAAACTCAAGAAAATTGTTGAGAAATTTCAGTCTAAAATCAGTTCTTATAGAAAAAAGAGATATCCTTCAGGAGAAAAACCCCATAAATATGATTCACCTAGAAAGCTCTTCAAACAGAATTCCTGCCTGAGTAGACATAAGGAGATTTATTCAGGAGAAAAGCCTCGTAAATGCATTGAATGTGGGAGAAGCTTCAGCAGCAATACACACCTGGAAAACCATCGGAGAACTCATTCTGGGGAGAAGCCATATAAATGTAGTGAATGTGGAAAAGCCTTCAATTATGCTTCATCCCTTACAAAACATCATAGAATTCATACAGGAGAGAAGCCCTATATATGTAAAGAATGTGGGAAAGCCTTCAGTGAGAGCTCAAACCTTATTCAACATAGGAAAATTCACACTGGAGAAAAACTCTATAAATGTAATGAATGTGGGAAAGCCTTCAACAAGAATTCATCGCTTACTCAACATCTCAGAATTCATACAGGAGAGAAGCCCTACAAATGTAAGGAATGTGGGAAAGCCTTCAGTGAATACTCAAACATGATTCAACATCAGAAAATTCATACGGGAGAAAAGCTTCATAAATGTAATGATTGTGGGAAAGCCTTCAACAAGAATTCAGCCCTTACTCAACATCTAAGAATTCATACAGGAGAGAAGCCCTACAGATGTAAGGAATGTGGGAAAGCCTTCAGTGAAAACTCATCCCTCACTCAACATCTGAGAATTCATACTGGTGAAAAACCCTATGAATGTAAGGAGTGTGGGAAAGCCTTCAACCGGAGCTCATCTCTTAATAAGCATCAAAAAAACCATTCTGGAAAGAAGCCCTATAAATGTAAAGAATGTGGAAAAGCTTTTGGCCAGAGTACCCACCTTGCTCGACATCAGAGAACTCATACTGGAGAAAAACCTTATGAATGCGAAAAATGTGGGAAGGCCTTCAGTCAGGGTACACATCTTACTAAACATCAGTTCATTCATACTGGAGAGAAACCTTATGAATGTAATGAATGTGGAAAAGCCTTCAGTGAGAACTCATACCTTATTAAACACCAGAAAATTCATGTGGACTATAAACCCTGTTAATTTGATGACTATGGAAAACCCATTAGTCTTTAGATGTAGCTTTTCCCTCATCAAATAGGGGCTAAACACTAGAGAGCGATCCAGGAAATATAATGAATGTAGTATCAGTTACATTTATCACTTCAGAAAGTAGCGTGAAGCTTAATTGTAACCATCAGTCGTGGTCCTAAGAGTAAAGATGAGAAATGCGCCTCTTCTTTGGAGAGGTGGGAGAACATAGATACATTGTGGTACGTATGCTTCAGACAAGGCCACTGGGCTGCTTGGTTTTATTGGGCTGACTGTTACAAAGGAAAGATTCCTGGACAGGTAGAGGCTACATCTGGAAATAACTGTTTAAAGAGAAGGCATCAGCAAAACTTTAGGGGTGGAAAAATAGATAGTGATGTCACAGTTTGTCACCAGCTCTGACATGTGTGATAGTTAAGAAGAAGCTTCCAGGCATGATGATGACTTCAAGACGCAGGGAAATGAGAAGCCTTTTTCTCCCTCCCTTGTACAAAACCAAGGGATGGCAATTTAGCAGAAGCCCAAGCTGGGAGCACTCTAGTTAGAGATCTGGAAAAGCCACCCGAAGGGCTCTAAGGGGGGGGCTCAAAGGAGTAACTCATATCACCCCACCATATCTATCTAAAGTGATGGACACCATAGTAAGGTGAGAAGTCTCAAATGCCTAGACTTCGAGTGCAGAAAAAGTTCTTGATCCACCAGAGGCATGTTCAGATTAGCTAAGGAAACTTGGTTCCCTTTCTTGGGGTCCTCTGTGAACTATCAGATTGGTTTGGGCCTAAGAGTAGCTTGGAATCAAGCACACATCTGTCAAAGGAGAGGAAAGGAAGCCGCCTCTGAGAAAGAAAGGAATTGCTTAGCAGGAAAAGAATGCCTCAGGCGGAAGAGGACTTTGTGAAGTGTCCAGAGGATTCTAGACCTCTCATCTTCTCATCACACTACCAGCATCATTCCCCAGGGCAGCAGCAGCTGCAGATGGGGTCTGTGTTAGAGCTGAAATGAGAAGGTAGATTCTTGTAGAAACCTGATTACTCATGGAAGTGAAGAAAAAGACTTCCAGCAACCAAGAGACTGAGTTATGAGTTAGCCCTCTGTCACATGTGCTCTCCAAGTTTGGGCCCTCTTTTCTCTGGACTCTGTACTTGGGGAATAGTGTGTCACAGGCTTTGGGGGGGAGTGTTTGTACAAACTGTTCTTACTGAAACATCTTAATAAACACTCCTTTCTAAAAGCTGTTTAAGTCTGGGTGACTGATTCATAGTCTCTCCATAATCACACCACTGGGGACTCCTGAGCTATAGCATTAGAAGTCCCCCAAAAAGCTCCTTGGGGCTACCCCTGAAAGGACATGGTATCCACACTTGGGGACCTGACTGTGGCTGGCCTCACCATTATGTCCAGGAGTTGTGATAGTTGGCTTAAAGTCTATGCTATGATAAAAAGCATAGAAATCTCCCTATTGAGACCTGAGTATCAAGGAAAATGGTCAAGCTTAACCATTTTAGGTAAAATAGAAGAAATATACACAAAATCAGGTATTTTTTCATCACTAACTGCCTTTCTAGCCCATTTCCTAATCACTGTGCATGGCTTTTGTTTAATAAAAGTAATTCTGCTTCACTTAATTTGATGCTCAAACCCCAAGAGCGCGTCCATGTCCGTATGTGCGCAGCTTCCCTGGGCATTCCTGTACTGGCTGTGATGCTCTCAGCTTTTCCATGACACTCTCTGCTTGTTCTCCACCATTTGTTAAATGCCTTCTATGTGCCAGGCACGTGGTAACAATTATAACCTCCCTATGAGAGAGGCAGCTTTGTGTAGTGACCTCACCTTAAAGTCAGGAAGAGCTGGGTTCAGGTTCTGCCATGGATGTATACTATCCCTTGAAGACTTTCAGTGTTCCAGATGACTCTCTTAAGATTGTAAGTTACAGTTGAATTGCTTTTGGAGTTCTCTTTCCAAATTAACTCATAGGTCTAGACCAAAAAAAAAAAATTACTGCTAACAATAACAACACATTTCACGAGTGAGAGTTATACCAGAAATACGTGTCTTTGAATCCAAGTGCAGTGTTATTTGTGATACTGCCCTGATTCCCCTGCCTATATTTTAAAAATGTATCCGTCATGTGATTTACCTTGTAAAGCAGGTAAATCTATTTCAGTGCAGAGACACACAGCTGAAATGTGACCACATTCTGTGTGCTTCTGGGTGTGCTAGTTACAGATGCGTATGTTAGTAAATACATCTTTGCTGTATGCATCTTCACCTACATCTGTTTCCCAGGGAAGATGCCTTGACATGGGAGTGAGGATGTGGTCCAACTCTGCTTTGTGTATGAAAGGTCATAAGCCAGTATCTTCCTTCCTGCTACTCTCTGGCTTCTCACCTGTCTCCAGAACCCAGAGATGATGTTGATCCTGGCATTCCCCATGGTCATAGCCACTCTCTAAGACAAGGCCTATACTATTTCTCCCCAATCTGTGTATTTTTCTATATACTCTCCTTGGCTACCTGGAGCCCAAATGACAAAAGATGTAAAATAGTCTCTGAAGAATCCTAGGAAGATGGCAGAATGAGAAGTTTCCTAGGGACCACTTCTTCCCACCAAATCAAACAATGCAAGTTTCAAAAAAAAAAAATCACCAACAGTAAGTGAAAGAATTCTCCACAGGGTAAGTCTTTAAAAATAACTGAAGCCCCGCCTGTTCCTCATACCATTCCTGGCCTTCCTGACCTCTCCCCACAGTCCACCAGAGGGCAGTTTTTTGACTTTTATTGCTGCTACACTATTAGGCACACAGGTGTGGATGTTAACTTTGTGGTTAGTGGGGGGAGAAGGATTGCCACTCCCAGAACTCTCACCCCCGTGCACCCTACTCCCATAGTCTTCAGCCCACATCACAATCTCCTCTTTTTTTTTTTTGCCTCAGCTTTTGAAGTTAATACTGTTAGTGTCCAGGGGAACCACATTTCCAGGGGAGTTGAAGTACATGTATCAGATAGCCCCCAACTCCTAAAAATGAGGAAAAGGGGCAACAGTGTATGAATATAAAGCCTGGGAGATAAAAAAGTGGAGAAAGAAGGTAGTTAGAACTGCACCCCTGATTAGAAAGTAATGTAGCATGGAAGAAAATGGGTACTCATTAAAAGAAGGGTAAAGAGAAGCAACTACAAAGATTTCCCAGAACAGGCCTCTCAGCATTGTATTGGGAGGCCCTTCCCTGACCCCTTCATGACCAGGCTTCTGCGGCACTGAAGAAAGCTAAGACAGGAAGGACCATTGAGCCTGGAAGAATGGGACTAGTAAAAGTGGAGAATAGGCCCCCCCCTACATTCTCCCTGCAGTGGTGTCCCAACTGTCCCCCCTTACTGTCTAAGGGAAACAGACTTTGGCTTCCCAACGTGGGAGCCAAAGGAGGGTCATGGTAGCACTGGGCCTTGTGAAGGGAAACGATTAGCAATAAGCTCGTTTTTAGTAAGGGAGCCATAGAAAAGTCAGCCAATAATTAATTAAGACAAAAAGTGCCTGAGGAAGAGAAACGAGTTTATATCCAAAGCAAAGATCCACCCCAGCGGGTAGGCGCTTCTCAACAAAGTAAACTTGAGTTGAAAATCTGTGGAAGATGAAGCTAGCATAACACATTCTTGAAGGCCTCCCTGAAACGATTCCGAGAATGTCCAGAACAGTTCAGACAAGCAACCAAAGTATTAAGAGAAAATATTTTAGAAGGACAAAATTTAGAGCAAACCTGATGAGATTAGAACAAAAGACAGACACCATGTTCTCTTAAGAAAAAGGATTGGAATGAAAAAAGTCAGAAATGGAAAATTAAGAACTTGTTAAAAGACAAGATTGAAAGAATTTGAGAATGCCACAAAACATGAGTACTGGACGGTATACAGAGAGTCACAGTAGTTGAGAGTGGAAAAGCTACTGGTCCACCTCTCCTGAAAGAAATCCCCACTAGCATACACAGACTTGCTGGAAGCCCTCCAAGGAGGTAGATCCCAGCAGTTTAAGGCAGCCCGTTCCACTTTGGGATACTTCTGCTTGTTAGGCAGTTTTTCCCAATAGCAAGCCCAAGTTGGCCACTTTGTATCTCCTGCCTGTTGAGCTAAGAAGTAAAAGGCATGACAGGAAAAATCAGTTGGAGAGTAGGTAGGATATTTCAGAGCATAAACCTTCACTCATAAATCAATAGTATGGTTGATAGGATAATACAGAGGAATGTCTTTTGCATGAATAGGAGCGAGATTGAAATAGTAAGGCCCTGGGTAGCAATCGTTGTGAGCAAAAGGGGAACGGTGGATAAAAAGCTTTATTTCTTCCTTACCCGCCCTGCCTTGCTCAAGGAATAATGATAGACGGTGGAGGAGTGGGAAGCAGCAACAAGTGGAAAAGGAACCGCTGGAGAGGAGCTCTACATGCCTTAAGAGCAGTGAAACTTCTGGGCCGGGGAGGAGGGGAGGTGAGTGGACGGTGGACCGTAGTACTGAGGTACTGGCACCCACTAGTGTGGAAGAGATGCTTGGGTGTTCAGCAAGTCAGGTCTTAGAGGAGGCAGAGCAGGTTCATAGGGTCAAAGGGAGGGTAGCATTATGAGGGATGAAAGACGAGGTCATTCTCCTTGGGGCAAGGGTTATATACTTCCAACTGCATCCTGCTGCCCGATTAATTCATTTTCCTGGTGAAACTGGGGAATCCTGAAAAGGGTAAAAGGGTAAAAATAATGAGGAAGGGGGTGGAAGGAAAACACTGCTTGGAAAGAATCATTACAGACTAATATCACTAAGAAATGGAAGCAGGGAGATCACGTTCCCTGGCAGTCTGGTGGTTAGGATTTGGACAGCACCACTGTGCACCGTGCACGATTCCTGACCAGAGATTTCTTTGATAGGTTGCAGCCTGGTGTAATGGATAGAGCACAAGGTAGCCGAGTTTGAATTCTCCTCAGACACGAGCTAGTGTGTGACCTGTTAACTCACTTAACCTTTCTTGGCTTCAATTTCTTCATCTGTAAGATGAAGGAGTTGGATTCAGTGAACTCTAAAAGCCCTTTCCAGTTATGAGTCTACAATCTATGATCCTATAGGAGGAAGTTAGGAAGAATTAGGTACCATACTTTTAACTGAGCAAAGAAGGGGAAGGAGTAAACAAGAGTGAGGGAGAAAGAGAAGAAAAATAAAAGTAAACCAAGGGAGCTAGGGAATGGGCTGAGTAATAGGAAGGAAAGGAGAGGGTATGAAACAGGAAATTTGGCTTTGATTATTATAATAAAACAAGCTACAGGGTGTATCTGCTGATGAGTGAGTCAGTTAATGGGCAAAAAACACAAATTTAATCATTACAAGCCTTGATGTGAATGGATTAAATTATCCACTAAAGGAATATGGGCATGGATAAAAAATTCTTAGCAATTTGCTGCCTAAATGCAAGTCAACAAGCATTTATTAAGTAATTACTATGTGCCAGGCAATATGCTAAGCACTGGCAATGCAAATACAAGCAAAAACAAAGTCTGCCCCCAAGGAGCTTACATTCTAATGGGAGAAGAAAGCACATAAAAGGAACTTGAAAAGCAGAGAGGGAGGTGCCTGTACACTGGTGTAGTAGAGAAAGTCCAGAGGTCAGGAGTAGAGCCTGGGGAGGAATGAAGATGTGGCTGACCTGAGCACTTTCCTGAAAATGGAAGTTACAATAGTTACATATATTTATACATACATACATAAATGATAAAGTGTGTGTGTGTGTGTGTGTGTGTGTGTGTGTGTGTGTGTGTGTGTGTGTAGAGAAAGTCCAGAGGTCAGGAGTAGAGCCTGGGGAGGAATGAAGATGTGGCTGACCTGAGCACTTTCCTGAAAATGGAAGTTACAATAGTTACATATATTTATACATACGTACATAAATGATAAAGTGTGTGTGTGTGTATCCCATGCCTGGAATGGGGACGGCCACTGAAATCAGGAGATGGGGTATCAAGTGAGGAACAAAACAAAGACAGGTGTTGCTGGACATAGAGGGAGGAGTAAAGTGTATGGACTGGAGAGGTAGGAAGGGCCAATCTGTGAGGGCCTTTAAAAAACTACATGTGAGATACCAAGTCATCTTGGGCATCGAAAGCCTTCACCACTTGGTCCAGGGTGGGAGACCTGCGGCCTCTTCCTAGCTTTCCAGTCTTTAGACACTTGACTCCTTTCCATGGGCTTTACAGTCCATTGACACATGCCTTCTTACCATCCCTTGCACACGACCTTCCATCTCCTGACTGCATTTTCAGTGGTTGTGCCTTGTGCTTGTAATGTTCTCTCTTCTTGTCTCTGCCCCCTGGCTTCATTGAAGATTCAACTGAAAGCCCATCCTCTGCAGGAGGCCTTTCCTGGCCCCATTCTCCCTCTCTTCCCGGCACTCCCCATGACCTTTGGTCTACTGTGTGTGTATCTTGCATGCACACAGCTGTTTGCATTTGACTTCCTCGAGAATGTGAGCCCCTTGAGGGAAAGCACTATGTTTTTGCTTTTTTTCATGTCTCTAGACATGTGCCTGGCACATAGTAAGCATTTAACAGATGGTTTCCTGATTGATTGGCAAACAATCACTTGTTGTTTTTTTGTTTTTGTTTTTGTGTTTTTTACAAGAACTGCTGGGGGAACTGGAATGCATTTGGTAAAGATTAGGCTTAGATCAATATCTTATACCACATAACATAATAAACTCAAAATTATCATAAAACCTGAATATAAAATGTCATGCCATAAAAAAATAGAATGAAATTCAGTACTTTATTGTGTAAATACATAAATAACCATGCAAAAAAATGTTCAAAATCATGAATAGATAAATGCAAAATAAAACTGCTGAGATTTCCCCTCGCTCCATGAAAAATGGCAGAAGTTAGAAAAGATAGAAATTGTTAATGCTGGAGAAGCTGCAGGAAGACAGACATCCAGGTGCACTGTTTGTTGATAGGACTATGAAGTGCTCCCAGCTGTTCTCCATTTTAATTTGGACTTGTGTAAGAAAGATGCTGCACCTGCCCCTGCTCTTTTATCCCGAAATCCCACTCCTAGGAGTACATCGTATGAACGTCTAAGACAGAAACAAAGACCCTTTATATACTGAACTATTCACAGCAGCACTCCTTGTGTTAGCAAAAAAACAAAACCCCTGGAAACAAAGAAGGTGCCCATCATTTAGAGAATGATTGAAAAAACTGTGGTATATTAACATAATGGAATATTATTGTGCAGCAAGAAATGAGAGATTCAGAGAAACACTACTGTAAAGCAAAATAAGCAGAACCAGTCAGTAAACATGTACTAAGCACCTACTGTGTGCCAAGCACTGGGGATTCAAAGAAAGATGAAGTGATCCCTGTCCTCTGGAGCTCACAGTCTAATGGGGAGACAGCATGCAAACAACTGTGTACAAACAAGCTGTGTATCAGATCAATTGGAGAAAGCCACAAAGGAAGTCATTAGAATGGAGCAGGGCCAGAAAGCTTCTTGGAGAAGGGGGTTTTATCTGGAAATTGATGGAAGGCAGGAGTCAGATGAGATGGGAGAGTGCTCTGTTCCTAAGGTGCAGCCTGGGAAGGGGCCTGGGGTCAGGGCGAATGTCTTTTTCCAGGAACAGCAGGGACTGTCACTGGATCAAAAAGTGCATGGAGGGATGTCAGAAGATTCACCAGAGAAGAGAAGCAGGTTATGAATGGCTTTGAATACTGGAGGATTTCGTATTGGATCTTCAAGGTGTTAGGGAGCCAGTGGAATTTATTGAGTGGGTTGCAGGGAGACCTGCACTTCAGGAAAATCATTCTGATAGATGAGTGGAGCATGGACTGGAGCAAGTTGAGACTTAGGGCAGGTTACACTAACCAGCAGCTACTGCAGTAGTCCAGGATTGGGAGGAGGAAGGACTGTATCAGGGCAGTGGCAGTGTTAGGGGAAAGAAGACAGCATATGCATATTCCAGAGATGTTAAGAAGGAACAAATCAGTGGGCCTTGACAACAAATTGGATGGGGACAGGGGGAGTAGGGAGGAGTTGAAACCCAGGTCTCAACCCTGGTTAACCTGGGAGGATGGCAGTGCCTTCAGTAGTAATAGAGAAGCTTGGAAGGGGGAAAGGATTTGGGGGGAGGGAGTAACAAGTTAATTTTGGACAAGTTAGTTTAAAATGTCTACAAGTTGTCCAGTTTGAGATGTCTCGTAGGCAGGTGGAGATATGAGACTGGAGGTCAGCAGAAAGGCTAGGGTTGAGAATCATCTATTGAATATCCATGGGAGCTGGTGAGATCACCATGTGAAGCAGTATAGAAGGAATAGAAGAGAGGGCCAGGACAGAGTCCTGTTGGACAAATGGGCTAGCCAATGTCACCTGGATGAAGATTCAGCAAAGGAGACCGAGAAGAAGCAGTCTGATGGGGTAGGAGAACCAGGATTCGTGTTCCAGAAACTAGAGAGAAGAGAGTATGAAGGAATGGAAAGTGACTGACAGTGTCAAAGGCTGCAGAGAAGTCAGGAGGGATGAGGATTAAGAAAAGGCCATTGGATTTGCCAACTAGGCGATCATTGGTAATTTGGGAGAGAGCAGTTTTGTTTGAATGATGAGGTTGGAAGCCAAACTGTAGAGAGAGGGAGGAAAGCAGAGGCACCTACTGTAGACAGCCTTCTAGAGGAGTTTAACCATAAAAGGGAGAGGGATAGGGAAATAGCTCATGGGGATAGATGGCCAAGTGAGGGTTTTTTGAGGATGGTGGAGACAAAGGCGTGTTAGTAAGCAGTAGAGAGTCAGCCAGCAAATAGGAAGAGACTGAAGATAGGTGGGAGTAGGAGTGATACGGGGGCGCTGATATACTTGGGGGGAGACAGGTTAGAATTGGATCCCTTGTGCATTCGAGGAGTTAGCTGAGAGAACAGTATGTACAGTGGTCATCAATGGAAGTGATCGGATTGCTGAAAAGGAAGCAAAGCTCCCAGCACTTGGTAAGTGTTTAATAAATCCTTGATTAATTAGGGTAGTAGCAAAGAACTGGGTAGCTCAAACAAACTGTGGTATCTGAATGGAATGGAGTATCACTGCTCCAAGAGAAGCAATCAGTGTGACGAATCCAGGGAAGCACAGAAAGACACAGGAATGGATGCAGGGCGCGGGACGCAGAACCAGGAAAACAGTGCACATGAAGACGACTACGCGAGAGGAAAGAGTGAAGACAAAAAGCAAGCTGTATGATATGTAGTTACGATGACCGCACGTGGCCTCCAGGATCAAGCAGGGAGGGGCCTGCCTTCTTTGCAGAGGCGAGAAGAGACTTCAGGCATGGTGCATTACATCTATTGTCATCCTGCTGGGTTGTTTCTCTTTTTAAAGTATTTGTTGCAAGAGGTGGTTTGCCAGGAGGGGGAGAGATTTATTTGGAAATGAATATGGTGACATAAAGATCTCAATAAAAATGTAAAGATAAAATAAAATAGAGAAAGGCTTCACCAGTACTACATCTACTATTTGGGGCAACATGAACTTCCTGGCCAAAGGAAGCCTTCTTCTGGC